GAGGAAGCCCAGGTGGCCATGCCTGGGAGCAGAGAACTTGCGGTGGGACTGCAGAGAGGAAGAACAAAAAAGATCAGCTTCACTTTCAGGTCCCAGAAGATGCTGGGAGTGAAGAACCCTTTAACATCAGCGAATGCTGGAGAGATTCTGGGCTTTCCTCATTGCCAACATGAAAGAACTCGTCACAGGAAGGGATTTTGTTCAGGTTTTCATCACGTACATGGAAGAATTTAGTAAGTTTCTGGACAAATGAAGCCAATTAACTAAAAAAAAACTTGAACATGATCTCTCTTCTTCTGCTTGAGGACTTTGAAGGAGAAATATGTTCTTTAATAGGTCTGCCCTTCTGTGATGTTAATTAGAATGACTTATTTTGTATTCTGCAGCACCAAAAGGGCCTGCTCAGAATTCATGGGCTTTGTGTCACCAAGGCAAATGGCACCAAACAAGCACAGCTAACGATCAGAAGAATTGGGAAAGGATGCCCAAAGGAATCAGTAATAAGAACAAGCACAGGTTAAATATGCACCTTGAAAACCAAATTAGAAAAGCTAAATATATAAACTCCAAGTGCAAGGTCATGCTGAGTCAGGCACAGGGAAAGCAACAGCGCTTTAGAGACATGGACAAGTTCTCACACAACTGGCTTCACGGCAGGGAAACTGGGGGGTCAGTCCAAGCAGCGAAGGGTTAGATCTACATCCACTGCAACTCCCTCCTCGCTAAGATCAGTCCCAGCACCAGGTTGTACTTTCCACCAAGCGTATTTTCCAGCCCCAATGGAGCTCTGTCAAGCTCAAACCCATTTCAGCTGCACTTAAGGTGGCTGGGAGGCCAGCCCTGCTTCCTGCTCCCTCTGCACACAACCGAAAGGTAGCAGAGCCCAGCCGTACAAACCATGGGACGTCTTCAGCCCAGCTCAGCCGCAGAAAGAGGCTGTCAGTAATTGCCTCCCCTGTCTAATACTTGAGATGATTCTCGGTCTGAAGACACAAATTTAGCTGCCTGCTTCACCCGGGGCTATATTCATTTCGCGCTGGGCCAAGCTGGCAGGTTTGGACGTAACAGTTGTGGTGTGGTAAAGGTCAATTGCCGGTGTCTCAGTTTACACTTCTCCCTCCTAAACAACTTGAATGTGAATGGCAGGAATTAGGGAATCACGGAATTGTCAGAGTTGGAAGGGACCTCTAGAGATCATCTAGTCCAACTCCCCTGCTAAAGCAGGATTGCCCACAGCACATCACTCAGGACTGTGTCCAGGTGGGTCTTGAAAATCTCCAGAGAAGGGGACTCCATGACCTCCCTGGGCAGCCTGTTCCAGGACTCTGTCACCCTCACCATTAAAGAAGTTCTTCCTCATATTTGAGTGGAACTTCCCATGTTCCAGCTTGTGCCCGTTGCCCCTCGTCCTATCACTGTAAACCACTGAAAAGTGTCCAGCTCCATCATCCTTCAACCCACCCTTTAGGTACTTGTAAAGATAGATCAGGTCTCCCCTCAGCCTTTTCTTCTCCAGGCTAAAGAGTCCCAGCTCTCTCTGCCTTTCCTCGTAAGAGAGGTGCTCCAATCCCTTAATCATCTCAGTTGCCCTACGCTGGACTCTCTCCAGCAGTTCCCTGTCTCTCTTGAACTGGGGAGCCCAGAACTGGATGCAGGATTCCAGTTGTGGCCTCACCAGTGTAGAGTAGAGGGGGAGAATGACCTCCCTCAACCTACTGGCCACACTCTTCCCTATGCAGCCCCAGGTTCCACTGGCCCTCTTGGCAACAAGGGCACATTACTGGCTCGTGAAAAGTTTGCTATCCACCAGGACTCCCATAACCTTCTCAGCAGTGCTTTCCAGAAGATCCACCCCTAACCTCTATTGGTGCCTGGGGTTCTTCCTCCCCAGGTGCAGGACCCTGCATTTGCCCTTGTTGAACCTCATCAAGGTGCAGGACCCTACATTTGCCCTTGTTGAACCTCATCAGGTTCTTCTCTGCCCAGCTCTCCAGCCTGTCCAGGTCATACTGGATGGCAGCACAGCCCTCTGGAGTGTCAGCCAGCCCTCCCAGTTTGGTGTCATCAGTGAACTTGCTGAGGATATACTCTGTCCCCTCATCCAGGTCATTGATGAACATGTTGAACAGGACTGGGCCGAGTATTGACCCCTGGGGGACAAATCAGCACAGCTTCCTAACGGGGCACCGCACACCCAGAGCTGCCAACACCACTGGGCACCCTGAGCATGGTGCAGCTGGTAAAGACAGCCTAAAAATCCCTCCATCAGCCCAGGCAAGAAGGACTTTGTGATTCTGACCGGAAAACAGGTCGAAGGCCGTAGATGTGATGGTGAGGGCGGGCTCTGCTGCTCCTCCAGGCCGGGGCGTGAGGCGGTCTGAGCTAGGCCGCGGCCACGCCAGGAGGGGGACACGGACTACAACTCCCAGCATGCACCGGGCACAGCTGAGCATGCGCAGAGGGCGCCCTCTGACCCCGCCGTCCCCCGCCACCGGGGTCGCGTAGGGCGCCGCCATCTTCTCCGCCGGGCCCGCCGCCGCCGCCACCATGCCGGAGGACAGCGACTGGGAGGCGTACAAGGTCCCGCCGACCCGCACCCCCGTCTCCGAGAGGACCACGTCGGTGCCCAACCCGGTCACCTTCTTTCAGACCGTCTTCAACTATGTGGTCGACGCGCCCGTCACCTTCGTCCGAGGTACCGGCGGGCCGAGGCCCTCCCTTCTCCCTCCGCCGTGCCGGGGCGGCCGGGGTCTCCTCACTAGCGCCGCTCTGCGGTGCCCGACGGCTGCGGGAGTCGGGCCTCGGGGTGGCACGGGGGCCAGGGGCAAAGATGCAAGGAGAGCGGGACAGGCAGGGGGAGGTGGGACACACAAGGGCACGAACACCGGGACACACGGGGAGAGGCGGGGCTGACAGGGACCGAGCATGGACACTGGGACAGACACGGGGAGAGGGGAGTCAGAGAGAGGGACATGGGATGCAGACAGGACAGAAGGACAGACACAGGGAGATGGGGTCAAAGAGAGGGACATGGGATGCAGACAGGACAGAGGGACAGACACAGGAGGATGGAGGTCAGAGAGAGGGACATTGGATGCAGACAGGACAGAAGGACAGACACAGGAGGATGGAAACCAAAGAGAGGGACATGGGATGCAGACAGGACAGAGGGACAGACACAGGGAGATGGGGGTCAGAGAGAGGGACGTGAGATGCAGATAAGGATGCACTACAGACAGAGGGACAGACACAGGGAGATGGAGGACAGACAAGGACACAGGGGCCAGGGACACCGTGCTGGATGTGTACAGGGCCCACTGCTGCAGCACAGCCCAGGAAGGCAGCAGCAGGAGGGGACAGTGATGCCATGGCGGGCATTGGGGCCATGCTGCCTCTCGCTGGCCAGGGGCCTGACCACGGGGCTGTCCCCACAGAGTGGATCGAGCGCCAACAAGCCAAGAACAAGTTCTACTATTACCACCAGAAGTTTCGCCGCGTGCCCGACCTGAGCGAGTGTCTGGAGGGCGACTACCTCTGCTTCTTCGAGGCCGAAGCGCAGTGGAGGAGGGACAGGTATGGCTGTCACCGCTCCGGTTGGCTTGAACTCACAGCATTTCTGTGGAGTTTGGGGTGTTGAGGCAGCATCTCCTGCCCACCCCGTTACAGAACACCCATTTCATACTCCTGCCGTCCCCCTGCAGCACAGCTGAGCTGGGTGGCATTAGGACACATTCTCCTGTGTAGGAACCTCCTGGTTCCTACAGCACTGCTGCAGGACAGGCCGCTCTCTCCTGTTAAAACCCAGAGCTCACCTTCCACAGGCTGTCATGGTCCTGCCTTCAGCTTTTCTGTCATTTCTTGGCTGTGGTTGCATCCATCATCATCTTCCCCGCAGGATGGTTGATCAGGAAATCGTGGAGATAGTGCGGGAGAGGCTGGGTGCGTGCAAGCAGAGGGAAGGACCCAACCAGTTCCAGAACTGTGCCAAAGAGGCAGAGCTGCTGGCACAGGTCACCAAGGCCTACCAGGACAGATGTGAGTACAGCAACAGCCTGCGTGGGCACCTCTACTGCAGCTGTGACTACACATAGGAAAAGGGGGTCTTAAAATCACTTCCCAAACTTAGAACCATAGAATGGTTTGGGTTGGAAGGAACCTTACAGATCATTGAGTTCCAACCCCCCTGCCACGGGCAGGGACACCTTCCACCAGACCAGGTTGCTCAAAGCCCCATCCAGCCTGGCCTTGAACACCTCCAGGGATGGGACATCCACAACTTCACATGACACAGAGGCATATTTCTTTTTAGCTGTTGAGGGGCACTTTTCTGACATTTACTTTCTTTTTAGATGGTGATCTTGGTGTCCACGGAAATGCGAGGACGTGCCTGATGAAGCAGAAGCACAGGATGATGGAGGAGAGGAAGGCACAAGCAAATGCATCTCAGTAGAATGGTTAGCACCTTCTGTGGTGCTTGTGTGGAATATACAGTGCATGTTGCCTCTTTGAACTCTGATGCTGTTGACCTCTACAATAAATGTGCAGCCCAAACACCTGCCATACAACCAGAATCTAGACTCATTCTTTGAAGAGATCTGCAAATATTTATACAATTGTTCCCTTTTCAGCTCTGAATTCCAGTTGATTTGTTACCAGCCCCTCACTCCAGGCCCCCCCTGGCTTCCTTATTATTGGCATTTCCCCTCAAGGAGCTCTCCCTCACCTCCATCAACCAACAGAAACTCTGCTGCCCTGCCCAGCCCTGGGGAAGAATTCCCTCGGGGTAAAGATTACATGTAGGACAGCACGTAATCTTCAGAGCTGGTTCTAGACCCCATTTAGGATTAATACGTGATTAACGAGGATCAGTGTAACGTAACATACTATTTCATTCAGCAGATGTTCAGGCTCTGGCCCGCAGACGTGAACCTACTCAAATCCCCAGCAGAGATTTAATCCATCTGCCCAAGGCACCAGCCGTCCCCTCAAACCAATCACAATTTCTTGTTCACTGATCACTTTATTGTCTTGTACAAAACCCACTTAAGTCGTTGCCACAGCAGCTGCCTGGGTTCTCTGCACCGAGACTCTGGTGTGGGTCTTTGCCAGATGGTCAGTGAACTCCTGCAAAAAAAAAAATGTAATAAAACCAGTGTTTTATTTTCTCAAGCCACTATCATGAGGTTCTCAGCACTACATCCCTTCCCAGCAAGGTGTGTATGCAGGGGCTGAAGCAGTTGAGATACAACTTATATTTTTACTTAATATTTCAAAGCTTTCCTTTGTCCATGAAATGCCATTTTCTTACTCAAAACTGCATGCTTAAAAAATAAAATCACAGACTACCTGGCAGTCACCTCTGACTGCAGCACTACTCTCCCAGTACCAAAGTGCAAATTCTTTGGGTACAGCATCTGAACTTTTCAGGGTGGGAAGGGTAGGATTTGAGCTGCAAAGTGCAGAAATGCTCTTACCTGGTAAGGAGACTTGGTGAAGACAGTCTCTTTCCAGAGGTCAGGGGTCAGATAACTGTAGGTCTTGGAGATGGCATCAAAGGTGGCTTTAGCTACAGAGAGAAGTCGGACATCACACATCACCACTACAGAAATGGCTCACTAGTACCTGGCCAGGCTGCTCCAAAATGTAGAATTTAGGAAGAAACAGAGAGACCATAGCAGGGCCTCTCTGATATACATACCCAAAACTCAAATTTCTTTCTCTCTCCATTTACGACAATTACACTACTTCCAGCAAGTGCAATCGCGCAGATTGGGAGATTGTTGGTTTTTTAAATATCAATGCACATACAAAAAGACAATTTGTTGCAATTAACTTTTACAGAATTTCATGACCACCTACAGTGGGGCTAACCTGCAGTGTAGAAGTTATTGGTAGAAGTCCTCGCTTCTGCTGGACTGCTAGGTTTTGGTTCAACACAGATTAAAAAATACTACAGAAATGGGCACGTTTGGTCCCTGTCAATGACAAAAACAGCAATATAGAGAGCTAAACTACCACATGAAAAGCTAAAACTCACCAAAGTTCCCGAGGGTGGCAGTGCAGCCCCTGGCTGAGGTGTAACAGTCGTCGATACCCGCCATCATCAGCAGCTTCTTGGGGACAGGGGCAGACACAATCCCTGTCCCACGGGGGGCCGGGATCAGACGCACCAGGACAGAGCCACAGCGGCCGGTCACCTACACAAACGGTCACACAAACAGGTTAGGGCTCCCAAAACACACACCGCAGCACCGTCACCGGGACCAGGCCCAGCAGGTCCTTCTCACCTTGCAAGGCACGGTGTGGGGCTTGCCGATCTTGTTCCCCCAGTAGCCTCGTCGTACTGGCACGATGGATAACTTGGCCAAAATGATGGCCCCACGAATAGCAGTGGCGACTTCTTTAGAGCATTTGACACCAAGACCAACGTGGCCGTTGTAGTCCCCGATAGCGACAAAAGCCTAGGATGGAAAGGAAGAGTTTTCAGCTGTGGCTGCACTGCACAGGAACAGTCTCTCAGCAGAACACAGTCCATTGAGGTATGTCACCAAGGACAACCCCACGTGTGCTCAGCACTGAACAATCTCAGCTCCCTCCAAGCACAAATCACAGCACAGCAAAGCTCACAGTTCAAGAAGCCCATTTTTCCCCTTAGAGCTCATCCTCCAGTCAAAAAACAGCTACAGTTGAAGAACTGGGATTCAAATCCATGATACAGCCTCATACTAATCAGAAATCCTGATAATTTCCCAAATAGCATTCCCTCCCTACACCTAAGGCTCCTCTCTGTCACAGTCTTTATAAGCACAACTTTATTTTGTGCTAGTGCTGTTTCAAGTAACACTTGAACATATTACTAGGGTTTTAAAGTCAATACAAAAACTTGGTAAGCTACAGAAGCAGATATCTAAAGCAAAATATTTGTTAGGTACCACAGAAGAAAATAGAAGCATTTAAATTCGTTTTTGAATATGATACCCAAAAATACTAAGTCAATACACATAAAGCTTTTTGATGTGAGAAAGCAGAAAAAAAAAGCTACCTTAAACCTGGTACGCTGACCAGCACGGGTCTGTTTCTGGACAGGCATGATCTTCAAAACCTCATCTTTCAGAGAAGATCCCAGGAAGAAATCGATGATCTCCGATTCCTGCAAGAGTCAGTCATTGAACCCCACACATGGCCATGCTTTTTAAACAAATCAAACACAGCTAGTGAAGCTGCTACAATGCAAACTCAACAATCCTATACATATGTATTTTAAGCAGTAAGTACTTGAGTACAAAATAAAACCTAATTTTTTCCATCACTAAGCAAATCAATGACAAAGACTCAGGCAACATTTTGCCATCTCCACACAAGGCAGCACACAAAACCCACCACCAACTTATATTTTTACTTAATATTTCAAAGCTTTCCTTTGTCCATGAAATGCCATTTTCTTACTCAAAACTGCATGCTTAAAAAATAAGATAAAATCACAGACTAGCTGGCAGTCACCTCTGACTGCAGCACTACTCTCCCAGTACCAAAGTGCAAATTCTTTGGGTACAGCATCTGAACTTTTCAGGGTGGGAAGGGTAGGATTTGAGCTGCAAAGTGCAGAAATGCTCTTACCTGGTAAGGAGACTTGGTGAAGACAGTCTCTTTCCAGAGGTCAGGGGTCAGATAACTGTAGGTCTTGGAGATGGCATCGAAGGTGGCTTTAGCTACAGAGAGAAGTCAGACATCACACGTCACCACTACAGAAATGGCTCACCAGTACCTGGCCAGGCTGCTCCAAAAATGTAGAATTTAGGAAGAAACAGGGAGACCATAGCAGGGTCTCTCTGATATACACACCCAAAACTCAAGTTTCTTTCTCTCTCCATTTACGACAATTACACTACTTCCAGCAAGTGCAATCGCGCAGATTGGGAGATTGTTTTTTAAATATCAATGCACATACAAAAAGACAATTTGTTGCAATTAACTTTTACAGAATTTCATGACCACCTACAGCAGGGCTAACCTGCAGTGTAAAAGGTATCGGCAGAAGTCCTCACTTCTGCTGGACTGCTAGGTTTTGGTTCAACACAGATTAAAAAATACTACAGAAATGGGCACGTTTGGTCCCTGTCAATGACAAAAACAGCAATATAGAGAGCTAAACTACCACATGAAAAGCTAAAACTCACCAAAGTTCCCGAGGGTGGCAGTGCAGCCCCTGGCTGAGGTGTAACAGTCGTCGATACCCGCCATCATCAGCAGCTTCTTGGGGACAGGGGCAGACACAATCCCTGTCCCACGGGGGGCCGGGATCAGACGCACCAGGACAGAGCCACAGCGGCCGGTCACCTACACAAACGGTCACACAAACAGGTTAGGGCTCCCAAAACACACACCGCAGCACCGTCACCGGGACCAGGCCCAGCAGGTCCTTCTCACCTTGCAAGGCACGGTGTGGGGCTTGCCGATCTTGTTCCCCCAGTAGCCTCGTCGTACTGGCACGATGGATAACTTGGCCAAAATGATGGCCCCACGAATAGCAGTGGCGACTTCTTTAGAGCATTTGACACCAAGACCAACGTGGCCGTTGTAGTCCCCGATAGCAACAAAAGCCTAGAATTGAAAGAGTTTTCAGCTGTGGGTGCACTGACAGGAACAGTCTCTCAGCAGAACAGTCCATCAGAACCTGTCACCAAGGACAACCCAGGTGTGTGCTCAGCACTGAACAATCTCAGCTCTCTCCAAGCACAAATCAAAACACCGCCAGCTATAAGTTGTACAGCAGAGCTCACAGTTCAAGAAGCCCATTTTTCCCCTTAGAGCTCATCCTCCAGTCAAAAAACAGCTACAGTTGAAGAACTGGGATTCAAATCCATGATACAGCCTCATACTAATCAGAAATCCTGATAATTTCCCAAATAGCATTCCCTCCCTACACCTAAGGCTCCTCTCTGTCACAGTCTTTATAAGCACAACTTTATTTTGTGCTAGTGCTGTTTCAAGTAACACTTGAACATATTACTAGGGTTTTAAAGTCAATACAAAAACTTGGTAAGCTACAGAAGCAGATCTCCAAAGCAAAACATTTGCTAGGTACCACAGAAGAAAACAGAAGTATTTAAATTCGTTTATCAATATGATACCAAGTCAATTTTGATGTGAGAAAGCAGAAAAAAAAGCTACCTTAAACCTGGTACGCTGATCTAAAGCAAAATATTTGTTAGGTACCACAGAAGAAAATAGAAGCATTTAAATTCGTTTTTGAATATGATACCCAAAAATACTAAGTCAATACACATAAAGCTTTTTGATGTGAGAAAGCAGAAAAAAAAAGCTACCTTAAACCTGGTACGCTGACCAGCACGGGTCTGTTTCTGGACAGGCATGATCTTCAAAACCTCATCTTTCAGAGAAGACCCCAGGAAGAAATCGATGATCTCTGATTCCTGCAAGAGGCAGTCAATGAACCCCACAATTTTTTAAACAAATCAAACACAGCTACTGAAGCTCCTATAATTCAAGTTCAACAATCCTATACATGTGTATTTTAAGCAATAAGTACTTGAGTAGAAAATAAAACCTAATTTTTCCCATCACTGAGCAAATCAATGACAAAGACTTGGGCAACATTTTGCCATCTCCACACAAGGCAGCACACAAAACCCACCACGCTTCACAAGTGATGCAGCTTATAGCCCTCAGCTTCTACTGATACACGCCTCTAACTCAGACACACTTAATCTGAGCATCCCAAACAGCAAACGCAGCAACTACTGGGAGCTCAGCATTTTGGATGAAGATTCTGCTCACATGTTACTCTAACATTCAGAGCAGTTTACCTTGATTGGAAGCGAGAAGAGATAGATCTCCTCAAGAGACTTGATCTTCATATCCTTGACCAGGCGACCAAGCTTGGTGACAGGAATCCACTAACAAAGAAAACCGGGGAAAAGGGTCAGCGGCGGGTCCCCACGGGAACGGGCCGGTTTTCCCCTCGGGCTCCCGGGATGGCAGCAGACACAGCCCCGCCGCCGTCGGCCCCACACAGCCCGTCCAAGCGCCCCCTCCAGCCCCGGGTTTCCACTTACTTCCTTATCTTCGGCCTTGCCTCCACGGGCCCCGCGGCCCCTCCCTCGGCCCCTACCGCGACCTCGCCCGCGGCCCCGCAGCCCGGTCCCAAAGCCGCCGCGGAAGCCCCCTCGGGCCGCTCCTGCACCTCCGGCAGCACCGGCGTCGTCCGCCATTTGCTATAAGAGAGAAGGGCGCGTTAGGCGAGAACGCAGGGCCCAGAGGCGGCCGATGCGCGGCCACCCCCGGCCCCGATGGGCGCGGATGGAGAGCGGGCCGCTCCGCTGCGCTCCCCCGGCGCCATCCCGCCCGCCCGCCGCCTCACGTACGTGTTCTCTCAGAGTAGAAGGCCGCACCGTCCCGCCGCTGGCTATTTATACCCCGCCGGAGGTCTCGCGAGAGCACTGCCCCGCGCGCTGCATGAGGCATACGCTGAGGAAGCAGAGCGGCGCCTCCCGCCCATTTATACAGGTTCCGGGGCCGGGGGGGGAACCCACCGGCCGCCGTGCGCATGCGCCGGAGCCCCGGCTATAAAGAGGCGCGCACGCGCGTGGCGCTCAGTCTGAGGCGCAGCGAGGGTAAGTGTGGGTGGTGTGCTGTGTCCTGCCTTCTGTGTTGTTGGAACCTTAAACAAAGTACTGTTGGGGGTGTTTATGGTGCTCTCTCAGCTGGTGTCCGGTGGGGTGTGGAGGGGAGGGTCTCGGTGAGCAGCCTGGGGAGGCGCTTTGCGGCTCGTGTTACACACAGGACACAGGCGCGGTCTGAAAATCACTTCGGGTCTCTCGTGGCCCCTGGTGAGATAACTGTGCCGACAGCATAGGGAACATTAAGCTTATTGCCCACGGTAACGTGTGTGGGGAATGAAACCCATGTTCCCATAACCCCTGTACTGAGCTGATAGTCGGGGGAATAACTTGTGCTGAAGCAATGGCTGTTTCTCAAAGTTAATCTTTTCTTCTACCTGCAGGCGCTGAGCGCGGCCTGGGGCTGCTCGGCCTCCCGGAATGGATAGAGCTGCTGGTGCGCCTGGGCACGTTCCTGTGCAACCTGCTCTGGGTGGACCTGCTTTGGACTAGATGATCTCCAGAGGTCCCTTCCAACCCCCCGTGGTGTGGGGTGCCATGTGTGTGTCTGACCCCTTCAGACCGGTTCCCATCTCCGGTGAGCCTTGCAGAGCAATGGGGGTGCTGTAGCGGTGACAGTGTTCACAGCTGGAGCGATCTGAAATGATGCCGTTGTGTATTTTTACGTGCAATAAAAGATTAATTATCAAAAAGTCTGTTTGTAAAGCGTCTTAGTTGGTGTTGCTGCGGTCTTAAAAAAGATATCTCACTTTTCCCCGTGGTTGGAGCTGGGGAGCCGCTTCCTCGGGGCGGGGAGGGGATGCGCCGGTCGGTAAGGTTTCGGGGCGGCGGCACCGGCTGTTCCATCCCCAGCATCCCGGGGGTTCGGCGGGTCCGCCCCTTCCCACACCAAAGATGGCGGTCCCGGCATCAACCCTTTCGCCCCCCCAGCGTAGACGTCACTTAGCTGCGCCGGAAGTGGCGCCCTTCTCCCGTGGCAACCGGGAGCGCCGGAAGCGGGCGGCACGCGGAGCCCGGCGGTGCGGGAGATGGAGGCGGCGGCGGCCGTCAGCACCGTGCGCTTCAAGAGCAAGTGAGGAGCGGGCGGGATGGCTGGGGCCGGGCCCGCAGGGCGGCGCAGGCCGCTGCGGCGGTGGTTTAACCGGCTCCCTGCCCGCTTCTCCCTTTCCCTTCCAGCTACGCCCTGTCGAGGAAGATCGAGCCTTTCTACAAGGGAGGGCGAGTCCAGGTACGGAGGCGGCGAGGGGCAGGGTTGGGAATACCCGCTTCTCCCGCCGCCGTAACGTTCCTGGTTTCCCTTCCTTTTTCCCCCAGATAAACCGGGATGGAAAGTTCATGTTTTGCCCCTGTGGGACCAAGCTGAACGTCATCGATGTGGAAACGGGAGCGCTCCACAGCCTCCAGCAGGTGAGGAGATGGGGCTTGTCCTCAGCACAAGAAGGGCATGGACCTGTTGGAGCAGGGACAGGACAGAGGAGGCCATGAGGATGGTCAGAGGGCTGGAGCACATCTGTGAGGACAGGCTGAGAGAGTTGGGGCTGTTGGGAGAAGAGAAGGCTCTGGTGGGCACCGTTCCAGTCCCTAAAGGGGAGATCTTTTCCCCTATAGGAAAGACGGGGAGGGACTTTTTGCAAAGGCACATAGTGATAGGACAACGAGTAATGGCTTCAAACTGGAAGAGGGAAGATTTAGGTTAGATGTCAGGAAGGAATTTCTCACTGTGAGGGTGGTGAGGCACTGGAACAGGTTGCCCAGAGAAGCTGTGGCTGCCCCATCCCTGGAGGTGTTCAAGGCCAGGCTGGATGGGGCTTGGAGCAGCCTGGTCTGGTGGGAGGTGTCCCTGCCCAGGGCAGGGGGGTGGAACTAGATGATCTTTTAAGTCCCTTCCAACCTAAACTGTTCTGTGAGGTCCAGCCTCTGCTGGTGGTGAAACCACTGAGGGTCTTCCAAGGCTCCTGAGGTGTTTTTCCACTCTTGCTGGCTGTTGTCTTAAAGCTCTCAAGAGAGAGGAGGATGGGAATTACTTGAAATACAGAGAGATGTTATTTATGTTGTCCCCAAGCGCAGCTGGGAGCTATTGGATGCGCTCAGCATCAGCAGAAGCACGTAGAGAAGGAAGTTCCAAGAGCACACCACTCTACAGGGGGGTTAACTGGGTTTTTTAATTTCATTTTTATAGGATGAAGACGAGGATATCAGTTCATTTGTTCTTAGCCCAGATGATGAGGTATGTGCTTTGTGCTTGTCTGTTCTGCTCTGTCAGGGCTCCTGATACACACCAGTGGACGCTGAAGGCTGCTCCGCCTGGAAGTGCCCTGCATTTCCAAGGATCCCTGCGGAATCTTCTCAGGCACTTGTGTCTGTCTCCCCTTCTGAGCTCAAGTCAGAGGAATGCTGCGAGACTGAGCTTCAAGAGCGTCATGGCAACTGGTGTTTCTGTGCTTTGCGTGTGGGCGCTGAAAGAAATTGAAATCTAATTAGTAGTTAACGGTGTTTCCTTTGCCTTGCTTTTGCACAGATCCTGGTGACGGGGAGCCGAGCCCTGCTGCTGAAGCAGTGGAACTGGAGGGAGAACAAGTGTGTCCGCACCTGGAAAGCCGTGCACACAGCGCCGGTTGCGAGCATGGCCTTTGACTCCACTTCAACGTTGTTAGCCACAGGTACAGCCCTGTTTGAGTGTTACGCCATGGGAAGGATGCTGAGTGGCCCTTCTGCTGCTCAATAGCTTAGCTCAGCTGGACACAGCCTGAGTAGGGATCTACTGAATTCAGCCACAATCAGAAGAGGTTTTACTTAGGTAGAAGTGACATCTTGACAGACAGCAAGGGATCCTTTCAATCTTCTATCTAAAATATACTTAGTAAAAGTGTGATAAAAATCGGGCACCTATGAGACTGTGGTGTAGTTATCCCAGTGCAGAACTGGGATGCTTGGAGATGGAGGTGGGCTGGCATGACACGTAGTTTAATTGTACTCCAGGTCTCTTATCTGTGAGTCAAGTTTTGCTCACCTCTCTGAAAGTGTAAGGTGCTCTGTGAGCTTCTCTTCATGTGGGTGGTTGTTATTGGATTAATTTTTCTTTCTTCTGCCTTTGCAACCCATGAAATCTTATAGTTGCTGATATGTTGGACCATTGGTATATCTTTCCTCCATGGTTCATTCATATATGCTCTTCTTCTCCCAGGTGGCTGTGACAGCACCATTAAGATCTGGGATATGATCAAACAGTACTGCACACACAACCTAAAAGGATCTTCAGGAGTCGTACAGTAAGGACGAGTCATATTTGTCACTCACTGGTGTTAGTGTGATGCTTGGGCACTGGGATTGATGTGAAACATCTTGAGTTAATGGAACGTGAAGGTCTATTCTGAGCAGGTTCTGGGCTCTTCTGTTTCAGGGTTTTTGAAATGTCTAGTGAAGAAGCAGGGCTATGACTGGCTTTAGCCCAGAGAGGAGAAATTTCGATTGATAAATCTGTGTCATGGTTTGGGCTGGGCTGGGATCTAACTGGAATATCTGTGCTTACTTCAAGAATGTGGAAAGACTGGCAAAGATCAGTTGTAAATTTTTCTGGTGGGTGGCAGAGGAATGAAGTCCTACAAAGTCCTCTTATAAATGATAACCAACTGATCTGTAGAATGTTGTATTTATTTAAATGTGTATTTATTTAAATGTTGGGCCGATACCAATGTGCCAGATAGTTTATTCCTGTCATGTTCAAGCACATCTCCTCCTTTCTAGCCTTGTTGAGTTCCACCCTGATATCTCCCGTCTGCAACTCTTCTCCTCCTCAATTGACTACAAAATCCGCATCTGGGACCTGAATTCCAGCAAGTGTGTTGCCGTGCTGGACGGCCACTTCAGTGCTGTCACCTCGCTGGTGTTTGCAGATGGAAACACTCTCGTTAGGTAAAATCCTGCAGAAGTGTTAGTCTTTCTCTGCTGTTTACCCTGCCAGAGCCTGGGTGTTTCTGTAGGGTCTGGGAAGGCTGTCCTGTGAGGGCAAGGGCTGTTACGAGTGTTCAGTCTCCACTTGACTATACAAGCCAGTGACTGTAGGTCTCATCACTCGTGTTTCTGGCAATATACTGTGGTGTCACATGGAAGGCTGGTGCCTTTTTTCCTGTGGGCCTCTTCCCATGATTCCAAATTTGCAGTCAGAGCCCGAGTTGAATGAATTTAATGTTGGAATGTGCTCTTTTAACTTGCAGTTCTGGCCGTGATAAAATCTGTATGGTGTGGGACCTGAAAACCAGAGAAAGTAAACGAACCGTCCCTGTCTACGAGGTGAAATTGCATTTCATTTATTCCTTTGAGATCACAGTTCCTATAGTACCTCTCCCTCTTTATGTTCTTATATATTGTGAAATCAGGTTTCTTTCCCTTTCACTTCCCAGAGTCGTTAAAACTCTGTGTCTAAAGCTGTTTATTTTCTTTCTCTCCTTGGCTGGTGTGATCATGTCTGGGCGGTTTAAGGAAATAATATGCCTCCAGTGCTGGAGCAGAAAGGAAGGGCAGTCATGGAGAAAATGTGTTCTCATGTTGTATCTGCCTGCCTGGGGGCTGTGTGTGTCTGTCTGCTGGTACTAACCAGCTGTTGCTCAGCTCTGGTTGCTGAAATGGAACTCTGGTCCCTTGTGCTCAGCTGGTGTTTGGCCAACTCTCTTGCAGAGCGTGGAAGCTGCTGTCTTGTTACCTGAAAAGGGAGATTTCTCTCAACTGGGTGTGAAGAAACAAGGCTTGCACATTGTCACAGCTGGCAGCAAAGGTGAGTTGTCCTGGCATTGTCGCTGCCAGATTTGGAGGCTGAGGAAGGGCTGTATTTAAGATGCTGCATTGCCATTATTTTTGGGATGTGTGTTCTTTGTG